CAAATGAAAACTTCACTTTATTCAATCCATTAACCAACCTTGACAGAGTCCCCTTCCAAATTTTCCTCATATAATCCTCCACCGCTGAGATATATTTAATATTTACATCTTTTAGTTTGTCCATTCGAAAAGATAAAACTTATAGTAAATTTCCCATTTACCAAATTTTGAACCATTTGAATATTAACCAACATAAGTGACTTACGAATTATCATTAAATCCAGTGCTCAATTCAATCCAACTCCCTATTTTAATTGAATTTCCTTATTATTAGTATTGATAAGACCCACCACCGCTTAAATTTAATATCTATAATTTTACATCGATTATCCCCTATACATTATATCCCAATTACCAACTTTTTTACCATTTTAATATTCACCAACCTGAGTAACTTATGAATTATAATAAAATCCATCATTCAATTCAATCCACCTTCCAATTTTAATTGAATCTCCGTCCTCTTGATGTTCATATACTCCACCACCACTAAAATTTATTTTTTTAAATCTTTACATTTATAAATTCTCTTTATCATCATAATTCTCCTGATACCATATATCCCATCTACCAACTTTTTTACCATTTTAATATTCGCCAACATAAGTGATCTACGAATCATTATGAACTCCATATATCAATTCAATCCACTTTCCTAACTTAATTGAATCTCCATCTTACTTACAGTCATAAGATCCGTAACCTCTAAATTATATTTATTATGTATAATATTAAAATTTTACATTTATTTTCCCCTATACATAATGTTAAAAGCATAAGTTAGAAATTTTAACTATTGATTTAAAATCATCAACTGCTGACGAGGACAAATACCTCTGTATTAAGTGCCTTATGGAAAAAATTGATATTTAAAACATGGCTTTGGTCGAAGAGACAAAAACAATGATTAAGTAAATGAAAAGTGAGTAATTGAATAACAAACTCAAATCGTATTAAAGTAGGATTGAAAACTTTAAATAGATACAATCATAAGTTAAAGAATTTAAATTATTAATTAACAACACCTTAGATAAAGTTTAAAGTAACATAGATTAGAAAATCACTCTAATGGAAAATGAAATAGATGAATCAGAATCAAAAACATTAGTTTCTACTTTTGAAGAAGATGTCAAAATATTATCATAGAATTACAAAGGATCATTTAGCTTTGAAGTTCCTAAAGAATTAGAGAAGTTTCTGGATGACAATTCTTATATCGATTCAATTTAACAATAATTACAATCGATAATTAATTGCCCAAAATTATCATAAATCAAAGAAGCCTTAGAAAAGACTAAAGTGGAAACTGGACAACCAGAAATAAAGTAAGTCTAATTACTTTCTAAAAAGGAGGAAGATCCATTAGTAATTATTTTTAATATAAAAATAGAAAACACCAAGCTTGAAGATTTAATGTAATAAACATGGAAAAGAAATTATCATGGTTAATTTGAATCCTGAATAAACTCAGTTTTCTAGATTAGCATGTGTTGAGTGTATATAATCTAATGATCCAATCAAATACACAACCTTAGAAGATGCTAGTTTTAGATGGAATGAATATTTAGGATAAACTAGTGATTAGGTTAAACGATTTCAGAATTAAAGATGCTTAAAATCATCTTAAATCATTGAGATCCTTCAAGAAATTAAAGAAAAGTACAATTCCACTATTTAAGAAATAATCAATAAGATAAACACTTAATACTAAATGTTCTCTTAAAATTAAACTAATGAATTTAATGAAAATATGATTTT